CTGATTTCTCCGTCTGCCAAGCCTCCCACGTTAACCAAAGACCTCTGATTTCCTGTCTTCTGGTGAGTGTGACCTTCTACACAGTAACCTTAGAGCTCCCCGAGGAGCCCTGGAGATGGCAGGAAGAATAAAGGGTAGCCCAGACTTGCATAACTTCCATTCAGCCCGCCAGGAAAACAAGGGGGATGGTGGAATGGGAGTGGAGTGTCAATGGGCTTTTATTCTGGCTCTTAACGTGACTATGTAAACTGGCCTCCTTGCTCCTGACTAATGGTCCATGAGAACCTCCCGCGCGCAGCAGGACCCTACGTTGGAAACGGGTGAACGCAGCCGAGGCTGCAACCTCCACCCTGTCCCCTGGAGCCTGTAGGTGATGTTATGGGCTGGGCTTCTGTCTTCTGGCAGTTGTCACCCAGCAGACACGGGTCTTACTTGGCTGGGGATCTACGTGAGGTTCCTTTGGTTGCTGGCGGGGAAGGCTGGAAGAAGGAAGATAGAAATGGAACCCATGGGATATCATCGTACTCATGATGCATTTGGGCCTTGCTGGAGACGGAAGGAATTTTCCATGGGTCATTCATGACTCATTCTGCTTAGAAGTAAATCTGCACCAAGAGGAACCACTTTTAGGAGGAGGAGCCCTTCTGAAGTGGCCAAGGTGAATGGTGGGGTCTCTGGCTGTGGCTTTGCACATCTGGGTTCTGATCCAAGAGCTCAGCAGACGTCCAAGTGTCACTGGGTTAAACCCAGTTCAGCTGGCCATGGCACAGGTCCATCCAGGCCTGGGGCTGGTCCCTCACTCTGCCACACAGCCCATCTCCGGAACAGGACATGGAGTTTTGTTTGGGAGTTCGCACTCGGGAAGAGCGAGTGCTGCCCATATCCATCTCTTTCCCGCGCCAGAAGCACATAGCCAGCATCGCCGTGTCCCATGGACTTGTGACACATAAATCACCGCCACGGCTGGCTTTGATGGAGGTGCCGCGCTCCGGCCGGGCCTCCTGCCAGCGCGTGTCCGGGTGAGACGCGCCTGCCGCGCTCAGCCGGGAGCGACTCGGAGATTCCCTTTGGATGCGCCCCAGCCTCCACTGGATCAGGCACAGCCGCTTCTCGGGATGACCTAAATCTCTCTCTGCGACGGCGCTGGGCTGATTCACTCCTGCCCTATTCCCCTTTGCTGGAGTCGCCCTTGGGTTTGCCGTTGCTAACAATAAAGTGACGGGCGGCGGGCTGAGACTTCCAGCGAAGGGGGATGATGCACACGTTATCTCGGGGCTCGGCAGCTGCTGGAATTTCCTCGTGATCAGCTGGCCCTGAACTTTCGCCCAGTGACCTGCTGGCTCCGCGTGGGAAGGAGGGCGATGGAGAAAGGCTGAGAACAAAGACGCTCATCGCAGCCCGCCGCGGCTCACCGGGCGCTGCGAAACGTTTACGTGCCGTGAGAAGGGCGCCCGGGAGAGCCATGCGGGAGAAATCTGGGGGGTGAAGGACCTCATAGCAAAGAAAACTCCTCGCTCTGCTCTCAGATGCCATGCAGGGGGTGGGGACCCTTCGTGGGGACCCTTCTGACCCCAGAATCCTTGTGGGAGCCTGCTGGGACAAGGTCCTTGTGGGGACCACCCTGGAGTCTGCACCCTTGTCCCTGCTGGGACAGGGTCTTTGTGGATCCCTTCTGGGGTCAGAATCCTTGTGGGGATCCTGCTGGGACAGAGTCCTTGTGGGGACCCCTCTGGGCTCAACATTCGTGTGGGTCCCTTTTGGGGACAGTAGTGCTGGCAGCTGCACCTTGCCCATATCTGGGTACTTTCCCGCTGTCATGCTCTCTTGCAGCTCCTTGTCTCATCAAGGACAGGGGACAGATCCCCAGACTGCGCATGGCCCCCCTGGCAGAGCGGGACAAGGAGCAGCTCTCGCCTTCCCCAGCTCCCAAACCAGCCTGGCAGGCAGGGACACGCAGGGATCTGTACTGAAGGCCACTGTGCAGGACACCCCTGGGCTCCCGCGCAACACGCAGAAATGCACCGCGAGACGAAACCGCTTTGGACAGTCCATTTTCAGCTCTATTTAAAGCTAAGCACAGCTGAGCGCCAACAACACCTTTCCATTAATCCGTGGTCATTCCCCACTCGGGGTAGCTCAGGGCCTTGGGGAGGTTTGCAGTTTTGTCTGTTAAAAATTCATATGACTCCGAGCAAATTGGACATGTCTCCATAGGCAAATCCATCCACAGGAAAATGCATAAATCATGCGGCTTCCGAACAGGCCCCTGCATCTTACATGAGCTCAGCAGGGCCGAGGCAGAAAATAACCAGTGGGAACATGTTGGCGGCGGTACCCGGCGTAACCCTGTTGTTTTCCAGGCCGCTTAGCGGGGCAGACTGATGTTGGGTAACTCCAGGGCAGGAGGCTGGGATACCATGGGATTCATTTCTCCTGATGTCGCTATCCCGGAGGAATAGTCGACGTTTGAAATCACGTTTCCCTGTTTGTCCCAGTGACTCAAGCGCTTGGCGGTGCCGGGTTCGGATGGCTCCTGAGATGCTGTTGTGAACCCAGCGTGTGGCCGCTCCAACCTCCTGCTCTCCTGGCACAGCTCCTGCCAGCTGCCGTTCTTCTGGGATGCCAAAAAATTGCAGCAAGAGGAGGAAAAGATAGAAGAATCTCTGCAATTTCTGCAGGGAAAACCCTCCCTGGGAGTTTGCAGCAGGGCCCGGTGCCATTGGCTGCCCCAGAAATGCTGCCTAGGGATGACCCCCAGCAGCAGCCCTTAGAAAGCTGGATGCGCTCAAGGCTTTCCCATCCTTTTCTCTTTTCCTCATTTGGAAGGAAGGAAAAAAAAAGTTTTGGCTGTGGAATAAAAGTGAAGGAAAGGCCACAGCAGGGGATGGGGGAAAAGAGGGCTCTGAAGGTGCCGGTTGGAAGGGCAGGGTATTCCCCAAATTCTTCTTTCCCCATCTTCTCTCTCCCTACTTTCTCCCAAGCTCCTTCCGCAAGAAGCAGCTTGTGAGCGCGGCCGGGGCTGGGCCCAGGGCCAGCAGAGCGGGAAACTGCTGGGATTTGTTCCTACAGGAAGCTCATAGAGCATCGTGCATAATCACAACTGCAACGAGAGATGCTTCACTCGCTCCAATGAGAGGTTTATCCCCACAAAGGAACAAAAAATGGGAAATCCCAAATATTAACCACCTGCTCCACTGCAGGAAAACCAGCGTGGCTGATGGCCATGGTGTGTAAATGTGTTGTGTGTGTAAACGTGTGTCAGGCTGGATGCCACCCGTGTGGCCGGGCTTACACATCAGCGGTGTAAAGCTGCAGCAAAGCAGCGCATCCCAAAACCATCCTGGGCAAAGCTCCGTTGCGACTTCCCCGTCAGCCAGATGTGCCGACCGGGAAGAGCACGGGTGGAAAACAGGGATGTAGCCCCCGAGGATGGGGCTCCCGCCGCAGGATGCACTTTGGGAAGAAGGGGCTGCTGGAAAGAGCGGCGCGAGCACCGGGGGGGAGACGCCGGGCAGGGAGGGAGTGGGAAGCTCCATCTGCTCTTATCCGAGCAGAGCCGCCTGTGTGTGAATTCCTTCATGGGGAGAGGAAGCAGAAAGTGCAAATCTCTTTAAGCCGGAGTAAGGAAAAAAAAAAAAAAAAAAAAAAAAAAAAGAAAAAGCAAGATGAGAAGGAAGCGCTGGTATGGAGGCAGCCATTCGCAGACGAAGAAGGTGCATGGTTTTGCACAGGGATGGTGGTTTAACCCTTTGATGGGGAAGGATTTTGCACTCGGGAAGGAGGGCAGCCCTAGAGGAGCAATTGCCCCCTATCCTGGGCTTGCAGCAGGGCAGAGGTGGGAATGACCATGCGCTGGCCGTGTTAGCCCATGCACTGGCCATGCTAGCCATGCACTGGCCATGTGACACCTTCCCTTCCAACGCAGGGGACCAGGGGGAAACCCCTCAGAGCTCCCTGCTCCTCCCGGTGTGCCCAGGGGAGCTCCAGGCTCTGCCGGACACTGGGGCAGAGCTGCGTGCCCTGCATCCACCCCGGGGCCAGCGGCACCCGGCAGGTCCCCGCGCCCCGGGGAGAGGGGACACCCACCCCAGTGGCCATCCTGGACCGAGGGCACCCGCGGGACACGGTGATGGAGCAGCCCCCACGCGGGGGGAGCAGCCGCGGGCG